CACCATGCCCGGCCTCGATTTTCCTCTTATCTCCTGCTAGTCCTTCTCAGTCTCTTTTAAGGGCTCCTCTTAAATATCAATGTTTCCTTAGGATTCTGCCCTGGGCCCATTTTATTTTACTATACACATTCTCTCTAGGCAACACTCCTGGCTTCAGCTTCTACCTATTAATTACATGACCTCCTTTTTCCAGATCAGACTTCTCACAAGCTTTAGAGCTATACATCCAACTAAGTATTAAACATCTTGACAGTTACTCAGGGAACTCAGACCCCCATCTCTGAAATGGAATCTATCATCCTTTCACTGAAAACGTGCCATTTCATTTTCTATCTCTCTGAAGGGATTGCTATCTACCCAGCTGCCTAAGCCAGAAGTCCAAGATTCTAAACTTATCCCCTTTTCTGTCCTTAATGTTCAGTCATTAATTTCTGTTTATTTTCACCTCCCAAGTATTTCTTACAACCACAACATCTTTTCTAGAACTACTGTCATTATCTTGGTTCAAGACCTCATAATAAATGTAGCCCCAAAATTTCCCTGTATTCTTCAAAATTTATTTTTGATTATTATTAAAACATAATACATAATAATTGTACATATTTATGGGGTACATGTAATATTTTGATACAAGCATAATGTATAATGATCAAATCAGGGTAACTGGGATATGCATCACCCCTCTCTATTTTGTTTTTAATTTTATCCAAGTTACATATGTTGTCATATGTGGCTCTACAGGGTTAACAACAAAAAAATCAGCAGTCATCTGCCCTCTTCCCAAGAGATAACCCATTTTTTCCCCCTTTAGCTCACTATTTTGATCCTGACTTCCAAGTTTCTAAGTAACTTGCTTGTGTTGGTACTTCTTGATTTTTTAGTCTTAGGCATATCTAATGACTTCCTACTAGGGAACCATTCATTCATTTACCCAACAAATACTTATCAAGTGCTTAATATTGTGCCAGGTACAATTCTGGGTGTTTGAGATAAAACAAACAGAATAACCATCAGGGAAAAAAATGAACAAACATAAATTAGAATATAATTCATTATAAAATAGGATCTTTCTTTGCAAGGTAAGATGCCCTTCTTTTGTGTTCCAGCAGTGCCCTGTTCACAGCCCTATCATAGTCAGCACATTCTCTACTACAATCCTGTGTATGACTGTGGTTGGTGGTGACCGTCTTGTTTAGACCTAAGTTATATTCTTCCTATGGTTCTGATGAGTCCAGTGGTGGTGACTGGAAGGAGCTCTCTGCAGAACAGAAGAACCTCCTGGGAAGGTGCTGGAGAGCTTAGGTTATCATAAAAAACGAGCTAGGGTAGTTCTGGAGGAGCTGACTCCACGGATCTCTAGATTAACTGCAAAGACTTGTTAAATCCCAGTTTACTATTTGAAACATTAAAGGTAACAAATTAGGATCATCATAAAGGAAAGCTCCTTACGTCATGATTAAATTTTTAAAATTGGCTGGGCGCAGTGGCTCATGTCTGTAATCCCAGCACTCTGGGAGGCTGAGGTGGGTGGATCACAAGGTCAAGAGATCTAGAATATCCTGGCCAACATGGTGAAACCCTGTCTTGACTAAAAATACAAAATTTAGCTGGGCATGGTGGCGGGCACCTGTAGTCCCAGCTACTCGGGAGGCTGAGGCAGGAAAATGGCGTGAACCCAGGAGGCAGAGCTTGCAGTGAGCAGAGATTGTGCCACTGCACTCCAGCCTGGTGACAGAGCAAGACTCTGTCTCAAAAAAAAAAAAAAAAAAAAAAAAGATTTTACCAATGACTAGTAAATGAAGTTTAGAAATGTTTGAACATTTCTGATTAAACATGATAATTCAATTTTAGTGTAACAGATCCTAATTTCTTTGCCTTGCTAGCTTATTTTTTAATCTTTTAATTTTTTTTTTTTTTTTTTTTTTGAGACACAGTCTCACTCTGTTGCCCAGGGTAGAGTGCAGTGGCGCGATCTTGGCTCACTGCAACCTCTGCCTCCAGGGTTCAAGTGATTCTCATGCCTCAGCCTCCCAATTAGCTGGGACTACAGGCTTGTGCCACCACACCCAACTAATTTTTGTATTTTTAGTTAGAGATGGGGTTTCACTTGTTGGCCAGGCTGGTCTTGAACTCCTGACCTCAAGTGATCCGCCCGCCTTGGCCTCCCAAAGTGCTGAAATTACAGGTGTGAGCCACTGCACCTGGCCTGTTAGGCTGATTATAAAAAAGGATAAGGCTGGGTGTGGTGGCTCATGCCTATAATTTCAGCATTTTGGGAGGCAGAGCTGGGAGGACTGCTTGAGCTCAGGAGTTCAAGACCAGTCTGGAAAACATAGTGAGACTTTGTCTCTACAAAAAATACAAACATTAGCTGGGTGTGGTGGTGTGTGTCTAGAGTCCCAGCTACTCAGGAAGCTGAGATGGGAGGATCACTTGTGCTAGAAGGTTGAGGCTTCAGTGAGCCTCATGTCACTATACTCCAGCCTGGACAACAGAGTGAGACACTATCTTGGAGGAAAAAAAAAAAAAAGATACAAAAGGATAAAATTAAGTACATATCATTATTTTTTCTTTATCACTTTACTTATTTGCTTATTAAAAGGAATACAATGAGGTAAAAGGGTGTTTCATAACTTACTTTTCAAAGAATTTACCCAGAATCACAAACTGGTACATTAGTGGGAGTTTTTTTGGTTTGTTTAAAGTTAAAGGCTTACTTAATTCTTTGACATAGTAATACAAAATATATTATGAGCTATATATTTTAGAATTAAATATTTTACATATAACTCTCCCTTAATAACATTTACTTTTTTTACATTTTGTTATATTTTTATATTTTTTGCCTCTTTAAAAAATAATTTGGTTTTGAATATTAAATTTACATATTTCTGAGTTAAATCAACATTTGTAGAGGAATTATCAAAAAAACTAGTAAGTCTGAAAAAAAAACCATATTTTTATATTCTGAGGTCCTATATATGCTATGGCTAATTCTCTAATTTTAAAAAATGCTGAATATTTATATAATGTTTATCAAACTATTATTAATTTATATTTGAGTGTTTTACTATATTGGAATTGCAGTAATATTAACATTTGTGTAAACACACAAAACCTTGCTCTTCTTGCTAGAAAGAGATGTAAAAATCTGAACTAGTCGAACAGTCTTAAAAGAACTCATTGTCTAGCCAGATGTGGTGGCTCACCCCTGTAATCCCAGCACTTTGGGAGGTTGAGGCGGGTAGATGGCTTGAACTCAGGAGTGCAATCCCAGCCTGGGAAACATGGCAAAAGTCTGTCTCTACCAAAAATACAAACAAAATTAGCCAGGTGTGGTGGCAGGCGCCTGTAGTCTCAGCTACTTGGGATGCTGAGGTGGGAGGATCGCTTGAGCCTGAGAGGAAAGCTGTAGTGAGCAGAGACTGTGCCACTGCACTCCAACCTAGGTAACAGAGTGAGAAACATCTCAAATAATAATAATAATAATAAAGAACTCATTGTCCATTGGTAATAATAAATGTGTTTACGATGCAAAAAAAAGTGTAACACAAAAATATATTAAATGCTGCAGCAAGTATTTACATGTATGTACCTCATATTTTTTTTTTCTTTCCACTAAGGAAGGTGTTGTAATAGACAAACACAAATGCTTCGGTGTTTACAATTACAAATACCCCAAGTCTAGAACTTAAAAGTGGCAGTACTTTTTTTGGGACTTCTTCAGTTAACGGTTACTTTACACAGTGCTAAGCTTTTTACTCTTAATTACATTTTTGGATGATATTTATATCCCATTGTCCTAGAACACTGTGATCAAACTTTTTTTTTTTTTTTTTTTTTTTGAGATGGAGTTTTGTTCTTGTTGTCCAGGCTGGACTGCAATGGCATGATCTTGGCTCACTGCAATCTCTCCCTCCCAGGTTCAAGGGATTCTCCTGCCAAGTAGCTGGGATTACAGGTGCCCACCACCACACCTAGCTAATTTTTGTATTTTTAGTAGAGACAAGATTTCACCATGTTGGCCAGGCTGGTCTCAAACTCCTGACCTCAGGTGATCCACCCACCTCAGCCTCCCAGTGTTGGGATTTTGGACGTGAGTCACCGCACCTGGCTGATCTAATTATTTAAGTAATAGTTTAATAGAAATGTTAGAAAAAGGAATTTCTGGAAATAAACAGGTTTTGTAAAGGTTTTTTCTGTAGATTACAATTATATTTGTCTCAAGTATTTAATTAATTTGAGGAAAAAATAAAAGTCATAAGCAGTCAACATATCTATGAGATATAAGGAGCATCCTTTATGTTTCTTTATTATTTTATTTTTTGAGACGGAGTCTTGCTCTGTCACCCAGGCTGGAGTACAATGGCACGATCTTGGTTCATTGCAACCTCCGCCTTCTGGGTTCTGGTGATTTTCCTGCCTCAGCCTCCTAGGCAGCTGGGATTACAGGCATGAGCCACCATGCCCAGCTAATTTTTGTATTTTTGGTAGATACGAGGTTCCACCATGTTGGCCAGGCTGGTCGAGAACTCCCAACTTTAGGTATCAGAAAAGTAGGGGAGGCCGGGCTCAGTGGCTCGTGCCTGTAATCCTAGCACTTTGGGAGGCCCAGGTGAGCGGATCACCTAAAGTCGGGACTTTAGCTAACAAGGAGGCCATACCTTCTTGAAAAGCAATTTTGAAATCTCTGTGAGAGTAGTTAAATCTTGGAGATAGACAATGACATATGTGTATTTTGTAAAAAGGCAGAAAGGCAGAAAAATGAATAAGGACAATTTTCTCCTACAGAGTAAAACATTTCATCAGTAGATAAGATTGAAGATTATATAAAGGTGTTTTACTGATTACTAATGCACAGATTAAAGTATTAAGCCATCTTAAGTTTTTAAAATTTTGCCAATTCTCATACTTCATTTTTAAAAAAAAATCTGAGGATAGAAACTTGATTATTGATTGTTTAACATATTTTGAAGTAACATAGAATGAAAATTGGTTACCTAATCAAGTAGCAACAGAAGAGTAAACTAAGGATGAAGACAAATATAGCAGTACCAAAAACCACAATATATATGTTGAGAGGCAGATTCTGGAATCCAATATTAGGCATCCTGAAGTTGTAATGTGGGAAATCCGAGCTCATGGATGAACTGTGGGGGAAGAAAAGAATGGAAAAAAAATAGGTAAAGACTAAGAACAAAGACAGCATTATCATTGTGCACGTACAGAAGCACAATGACCCCATCTGAAACAAATATGGTAGACAAAGTGTTAATATTCTTGCCATTCATTCATTCACCATGCCAAATATTTACTACTATGTACCTGGCACTATTTCAGAGACTGGAGATTCTACATAAAAAGCTTTGCAAGTTGCATTTATTCACTAAAAGGCATTTCACTGAAATAATGCCAGTAATTAATAAACATGAAAATGTTCAACCTCAGAGAAGTGCAAAAAGAAAAAAAGTTTTAAGATTCTTCAAACTCTTTAGCCTTTAACCTAATAACCCTTGAAGTAGCAATATTTATAATGCTAAAATATTAGAAATAACTGAGATATCTCACAAGGAGATAATAATTAATTATATAGTCATATGTTACAGTATTAAAGGGTCATGAAAACATTTTAAAGTAATTTTTTTTTTCTTTTGAGACACGGTCTTACTCTGTCACCCCAGGCTAGAGTGCAATGGTGTGATCTCAGTTCACTGCAGCCTTAATCTCCCAGGCTCAAGTGATTCTCCCGCTTCAGCCCCCCAAATAGCTAGGACTACAGGCACGTGCCACCATACCTAGCTAATTTTTAAAAATTTTTTTGTAGAGATAGGGTCTCAGCATGTTGCCCAGGCTGGTCTTGAACTCGTGGGCTCAAGCAATCGTCCCCACTTGGCCTCCCAAAGTGCTGGTATTACAGGTGTGAGCCACCGCGCCCAGCCAATTTCTCCCCATTTTATATAGACAAGGAAACTGAAGCTTAGACAGTTCTGGTCCCATGGCCATGACTGACCAAGTATGTACACAGCCAGAGCCTCTCCAACTCCAAACTCAGCACTCTCAGTCCATATGCTCCACTGCCTTTCTCATGTGTTACTTTTATAATCAGAAACAGTAAGTGTTGTTTAAACATTAAAAAAAGGACTATTTCTGTCAGTTTGTTTGAGAATACTTACTGATCACTACAGTTAAAATTCCACAGATAAAAGTTGCCTCTCCTGTAAGTGGTAAGCTGTAGTTTGTCATTTTGATTCCTTACAAAATAAAGAGCTCCTGCCAGGCCTGCTTATTAAGACCAAAGACTGATAATGGAATTATAATTATGAATACAACAAATCCAAACCCAAACAAAACTCTACCAAGCAAAGAAAACTTCTACTTTTATTTATGCATGGTACATTAAAAATGTATTCACAGATTTTTAGTTTTCTTGTAGGTTCCCAGAAGAGTGTATTTATACTGTTGACACCACTGAGATGTTAACTGGCTATACCTGAAACCTAAATCTTATTATTAGTTTCTAGTATCTAGTAACATATATCAGGAAGTCAGTACCTGCAAAGAACAACTTCATCCCATGTAAATTCTTCTCTGAGAGCTTCCAAACATAAATAATGGGTAATATTTAATTTTGAACCTTTGGCCATTTTCTGGGTTGGCTCAGAGCAAGTGCTTTTACTCAAATACATATTTAATTTCCTTTTTCCTACATTCAGATCTTCTTAGAAAGGGAAGGAAGGATGTAGTTAAGGAGTGCTTTACCAAATATACATAGCACATACGCTGTGGAGCTATTAGAAAATTACAGGGCACAAAACTTAGCTCTTAACTTTTGTATTTCTGACAGGGCCTCACTTGATGACCCTTGTTATAGCCAAGACTGTCCTTTAATCCCTTACAAATATGCCTCCCCAGACAAGACTGGCTTGGTAAGATATCTCTCACCTTAGAAAATAAGGGATTAGGCCAGGTGCCGTGGCTCACACCTGTAATCCCAGCACTTTGGGAGGCTGAGGCGGGTGGATCACCTGAGGTCAGGAGTTTGAGACCAGCCTGGCCAACATGGCAAAAATGCACCTCTACTAAAGATGCAAAAATTAACCCGGTGTGGTGGCACGCACTTGCAATCCCAGCTACTCGGGGGGCTAATGCAGGGGAATCGCTCAAACCAGGGAGGTGGTAGTGAGCCAAGATTGCTCCACTGCACTCCACCCTGGGCAACAGAGTGAGACTCTATCTTAAAAAAAAAAAAAAAAAAAGAAAATAAGAGATTAAATATCTGTACTGGGCAAGCTAAGAGAGAGGAAACAGGCAAGTGACAGAAAATGGTATGGTAGAAAGATAGAGAGGTTTGCAGTCAGCAAATCTGGATGCTTGCTCCCGGGATGTCACTGTCTAAATGTCAGAGCTTCATCTATACTTCAATTTTCTCATCTTTCAAATGGTATGACTGTCCTATCGATCAACTTTAAGGAATTCCTGAAAGGATAAAATGAGATAGCAGATAACGAAGTGTCTGAAAACTCTAAGAGGACAAAACTATTAAGGCTTTAGTGTGTGTGTGGAGGGGGGGGGAAGGGAATGACATTAAATCAAAGTAGTAAATAACGGCCAGGCGTGGTGGCTCACGCCTGTAATCCCAGCAGTTTGGGAGGCCAATGCGGGCGGATCACCTGAGGTCAGGAGTTCGAGACCAACCTGACCAACATGGAGAAATCCCGTCTCTACTAAAAATACAAAAATTAGCCGGGCGCGGTGGCAGGCGCCTGTAATCCCAGCTACTCGGTAGGCTGAGACATGAGAATAGCTTGGCGCGGTGGCGGGCGCCGATAATCCCAGCTACTTGGGAGGCTGAGACATGAGAACAGCTTGAACCCGGGAGGCAGAAGTTGCAGTGAGCTGAGATCACGCCATTGCACTCCAGCCTGGACAAAAGAATGAGGCTCTGCCTAAAAAAAAAAAAAAAAAAAAACAAAAGAAAAGAAAGTGGCCGGGCGCGGTGGCTCAAGCCTGTAATCCCAGCACTTTGGGAGGCCGAGGCGGGTGGGTCACGAGGTCAGGAGATCCAGACCATCCTGGCTAACACGGTGAAACCCCGTCTCTACTAAAAATACAAAAAAATTAGCCAGCCGTGGTGGCGGGCGCCTGTAGTCCCAGCTGCTCGGGAGGCTGAGGCAGGAGAATGGCGTGAACCTGGGAAGCGGAGCTTGCAGTGAGCCGAGATCGCACTCCAGCCTGGGGGACAGAGCAAGACTCTGCCTCAAAATAAATAAATAAATAAAGTAGTAAATAACATAAAAGAAGCCTTGACAAAAATAATGTCTCTGGAGAGGATTCCACCAAACCAAGTACCCCTTCCACAGGGAGCTCTTCTGCACTCACTGAGAAGCTTTCTATCAGGTGGCCTGCCAACCTGGCCTCCAGACGCAGGAACTAGAAACCTTGTCTGGCCAAAGGCAGCCAATAATACAGGCTGGGTAGGAGTGAGGCCAGCGGTGTGGGAATGTTGCTCTGCAAGGTCCTCGAAATTGGTACAATTCTTGTAGCATTCTGAACAAAGACTCAGACACACACAGCAGTAGAGGTAGCACTGTCATCAGAGGAAAGAGACATCTGCCTTGGTGCTGCTGGCGGCTGGATGTTGAGAATTTTGTGAGTCCTCACTACCCAGCAGGGCCTTTTAATAAACCCCAATTACCAGAGGGATCTAGGCTGGTAGAAGATACGTTGATGCAGCATATATTTTAGGAATTTTTCTCCCTTTGTTTTAGTAAATAAAATGGCTTTGCTACAATTGATATGTTGGACCAACAATTTAAGTAGATGGTAGATTATTCCAAGATGTTAATCCTGATCTAGTAATACATTAGTTTTTACAAAATTTTCATCATAATGTATTTTCAGCAGGAGTATTAATCTTTTAATTTATAAAAGGCTACATATTCATCATCTTAGTAATATGCATTCTTTGCTATTGAAGTCTTACACATGTAAGTTATTTAGTAATTGCTCCTCGTGGGAGTAAAGAGGAGAAATAGAACATACAGCACACTGTTGTATCTTACTTGGCATTTCCAACTTCATTCACGTGAAAACCTTTTTTTCCCCTTATGTAAATTCAGTTCTTGAAATCTCTAGCCTCAGCCTAAATTTCAAATCACCCAGTCAGTTTATTAAAACCAAACCCAAACAAACAAACAAAAAAGACAAGAAGATTTGAGTATTTTATCAGCAATCTTAGAACAAAGAAGTTCTAAGAGGGACAGATTACTTGAGATTTGGATGCCTACAGGACCTCAGTTTAACACAATACACCACAGCTAAATGGGGCTGCAGTAGCATTCCTCAAAGCATGCTTGGTAGCCACATTTTTCTTAGATCAGTTCCTATTCCCTGGACAATACCATATCATCTTCCCAGGAGTCAGTATTCTAGTTTTGCTTCAAAAATTCTCAGAAGTGCCAGGCACGGTGGCTCACGCCTGTAATCCCAGCACGTTGGGAGGCTGAGGCGGGCAGATCACGAGGTCAGGAGATCAAGACCATCCTAGCCAATATGGTGAAACCCTGTCTCTATAAAAATACAAAAATTAGCTGGGCGTGGTGACGCATGCCTGTAATCTCAGCTACTCGGGAGGCTGAGGCAGGGGAATCCCTTGAACCATGGAGTCAGAGGTTGCAGTAAGCCAAGATCACGCCACTGCACTCCAGCCTGGCGACAAAAAAAAAAAAAGAAAGAATACAAAATGTAACATGTGGCTGCGTGTGGTGGCTCACGCCTGTAACCACAGCACTTTGGGAGGCCCAGGCGGGTAGATCACGAGGTCAGGAGTTTGAGACCAGCCTGGCCAACATGGTGAAACCTATCTCTACTAAAAATACAAAAATTAGCCGGGCCTGGTGGCATGTGCCTGTAATCCCAGCTTCTCAGTAAACTGAGGCAGATTAGGTTCAACCCCAGAGGCGGAGGTTGCAGTGAGCTGAGATGGCGCCATTGCACTCCAGCCTGGGACACAGAGAGACTCCATCTCAAAGGAAAAAAAAATTGCTCAGAAAGGGGCCTGGGTGCAGTGGTATATGCCTGCAACCCCAGTACTTTGGGAGGCTGAGGGGGGAGGACTGCTCGAGGCCAGGGGTTTGAGACCAGCCTGGGA